TGCATTAAAGGGCAGCAGAACGTACAAACGTGTTTCTCGGTTTAACTAAGGTTTATTTAGACTAATATAGGTGACCTTAACTTACTCACCAGTCGATGTTATCAGCCTTTTGGCGGCATTCCGGCCGTCAGTCAGAAGAAAAGGCTCCAACTCCCGGCATGAAAAATGACACGATGAATAATGTTAGTTTGCTGTTAACAAGTGAAACCATCTTAAAATATCGCAGTTTTGCATAAAACAGAAATAATATACTAACCTTTTTGTCGAGTTAACGGTGTATTTCTCTTTTGTCCTTTTATGGCCAGATTGGCCACTTCAACCAAACAGTCAAAAAAGAAATCTCCCATGCCATTGGTCAGTTTTTCACAGGCAAGTTCACTACTGTAAATTGATTTACAGTAGTGAGGAAATACAGTAGTGACCGTATATTTTCCCATAATCCTTTGTTGTTTACAGTAAAATACTGTATACACATTTTACAGTATCTTACTGTACATATTACAGTAAAATACTGTTCAAATTACAAAAATCAGTTACAGTGCAGAGTTACCGACCGCGTTTTATTCGGGAATTGAATCCCGCGTCGCAAGAAATCTGGTCGGTTCCCGCGGGAGAGCCGCGGGAATGCAGACCTCTAATGTACACTACCAGTCAAACGCTTGGACTAAATTTATGTTTCTCATTACAATTTTGATCTAAAGGTTTCTGCTTAAATGCTTAAAATTAGTTTTGCAGAATTGTGACTACATATGAATTTCTGTACAAAATGAACATTTTAAAGTTTTTTTAAACCCTTTTTTTGTGCTCTCTTTACAATTTTTTTAAACATCAAATTTTGAAGGAAAACACGACTACTGGAGTAAAGAAGGGACTCTTTTATTCTTACCTTCATACTAGTTCATAGTCTGAAAAGTCCACTCAAACCACTCAAAAAACTTGATAGAAGTCAGCAATACATAATATGAGGATGCGCCATGCAATGTTAAAGCCTTTATGCAAACAGGTCGCGTGCTGCATTCATCCAATTAATGACACTGATAGGCTATCACAAATTATGCAAATAGGGATGTTAACCCAGGGTTTTAAATTGATGCTTTTAAATGGATGAGTTTTAGCAAGTAGAGGGAGAAGCAAGTGCTCATCATACAGATTCCTCCTTAAAAGTTCCTCCTGCAAGCATCCCAGGATGTACCTCCTGAAGTTGGTTCATGTCCAGAGTGAAGCAGACAAAGAAATCTAGACAAAGAAGCTGAAATATAATTATATTTCAACGTTTTTGTCTGCTTATAGTAACAGTAAAGTCATGAAATAACACAAATGGATATACAGTATATCCCTAATGCACCAGAGAAACAAGTGCGCAGCCATCTTTAGAATTCTGTCTTTGAACTTCTGCTTTTTTCGGTAGCTCTGTAGCATCCCTATTGATGAGTAATTAGTAATTATCATGTGCATTGTAATGTTTGAAGCAGATAATTCCTGGTCTACTGATATTCATAACAAATGTCAGTAGACCGGGAAGATTTTACAATGAGAGGTTCATTCATTCGTACGGCCTTGCCTTCACACTGTCGAAATACAAACAGAAGATAGAAGACAACCAGCACAGCGCTAAAAAAGGGGCGGAGCTACATAAAAACCATACATGACTTTACTGTTATTATAACAACTGGACAACAGTCATCATAGAATGAGTAAAGGTGTCCAAACTTCTGACTGGTAGTGTGAATTGCAAACATGCAAATACCTTCAAATTATTTGTAGTTTTTATGTTTGTTTGTTTCTTCTTGAAGACGCTGTGGCTCCGCTCTCAGAACTGAGAATTGTTCTGCTGGGTTGGATTTTGTCTGGGAAGAGTTCAACCGGAAACACCATCTTCAATCATGAAATATTTCATACAGGAAGAGCAAAACACCATACTGGTGTTGTAAATGGCAGAAAAATAACCGTGTTGGACACCCCAAACTGGTGGAAGTATTTCTCATCTAAATACAACCCAAAATTTGCACGGGCTGGAATCCTGGAGAGTGTAGCCCAATCACAACAAATGCAGTTCCCTCACGCCATGATCCTAGTGATTCCTATTGATACCTCACTCAAGAATGAACAGAAAAGAATCATTAAAGAGTACATGGCCACTCTTGGAGAAGATGTCTGGAGACACACCATAGTTCTGTTCACATGGGGTGACAGATTTCCAGACATCTCAATCGAGCAGCACATTGAGAGTGAAGGTGACGCCCTCCAGTGGCTGGTTGAGAAATGCAGGAACAGATATCACGTCTTTGACAACTCAAACAAGAATAACCGAGATCAAGTCACAGAGTTGCTCCAGAAGATTGACGAGATGGTGGCAGAAAACAGTCTGTTCTGCTTCAATACTCAATGTGCTGCAGAAAAAAACATTCATGAGACTGACACACAAGATGAGGAAATAAGTCTGGATGCTGACCATGTGCTGCAATTACTACAGCAGGAGATTATCAACAGGTTTACGGAGATCAAAAGTAAACTAAAACACTTAGGGATGGATTTCACTGGATGTATAGAGGCTAAAAGTCACAGTAGCATGTCAGAGCCTCCAGGCTGTAAGTCTCTATTTTATAATGACTTGCATTTTCCTGTCTAATACTGATAATATAGCTGTAAACAGCAATTAGGACCAAGCCGAATACACCCCTATTACAGCCCATTAATGTCATCATTACACAATTTAATAGGCTTTTTACCTGTGTATTGACTTCCTATTGATAGTTGTTTTTATTCTGCCATGCAAACAACTAAAGAACAACCTATATTCAAATTTAGCAATTAATTTACTACTTGGAGTATTTTAAATGTTAATGTGTTAGGAAGTATCTGAGCACTCCCTGTGCACTCTTTCCTCTTTCAGTCTCAGCTGATGAGAATCTCATGGAGAAGATAAGGAGAGAAGGAAGCAGATGTGAAGTAATTTTAATGGATGCACTCTTGAACATTCAGAATGAAGCATCATCTGGTGAGTTATTTGACGTTTTAAGACTACATGTTTTCTTGATCTGGATTTTCATTGCTTCAAGGAAATTGTTTTATCCTCAATTTTTATATAATTTTTTTTTTTTATAACTTTTGTGGTCTTGAACTAATTTATTTTCTTCCCCTAATATTTTATATTCACAGATTCACCTGAGAAGGTGTTGAGGTGGTTTCAAAAATGTGATGAATGCAGCTCAATCGAATCTGGAACAAGCTCCATCATCAGCAATCTAGAAGATCCAGAGCCCAGAGGCATAAAAAGACGTAAAGAACAGTTTGCAGAATGAAACACACTGTTTAAACATGTTTTATGCACATGCTGTTTATAGCAAATACAAACTATTTGTTTTGAATGCATTTAATAATTATGTGAGGAATATATGTTAATATTTTTAATGAATAATTGGTATTTTTATATGATATCTAAAAACTGTATCACTTTATATTATAATTTTGTGAAAATTTAAAGTAACTTGAATGAATGAACAGTTAGGTTTAATTTCAGTTTGTTCTATTTTCCTGAGTCTATAGTTCCTGTTTCCTTTGTGCCCGTTACCAGTTTAATTCATAATATAATTGTGTATACATTACGTCATTGCATGATTACGTGAACGAACTAGTGAAATGAACCAGTTTAAATGAACTGTCTGGCACCAAAAGTGGGGTTGCCAACCCTAAAACATCAAAGAAGAAGAACAACATTCGCCGGAGGCTCTGGATTACAGGTAATAATGTTGTAAATAATGCAGTTTCTTGCACAGTACAAATAGGAAAAGGACTGATGCAGAAGTTGAAAGTCTCCAGAAAGTTTTGTGAACACATTATAAGAGTTACAATACACTGGAAATGACAGTGATCAATATGATCAGTATGCTTAATAAAATAAAGAACAAAGAGGAGCTCACACATCACACGAGTCACTTTATTAAACATTAAAGTCAGTTATGAGTAAAGAGGGTTATTGTATTTTGATAGCTATGAATTTTGACTTGTCAGATTCAGTGCCCATACTGTATCATACAGGGTCGTAGTTTGCGGGGGGATTGGGGCAGCGCCGATCCTAAACTACTGGGGGCCCTACGCAAAACTGTGTCGGCGGGGGGGTTATGAATGACGAGTTATGAATGAATGAAACGCCTTTGTCCGCTTGAGAAACGGTGTCTCTTCCGCGGCTCGGTACGCTTTTAACTCGTTTTTTTTTTGTCTTGAGTAAGACACTGTATGACAAGGGCGACAGCGCACCGCATTAAAAGAAATGACATAAGCGGCTTTCATAACCGCTGGCCAAATTAAAAAAAGAAACTAAAATTAAATCATCTTTGAGAGCAAGCTGGCCCCCTGGTGTTTCGGGGGCCCTACGCAGCTTGCCTACTTTGCGTATAGGGATGATCGTTCACCAGCGCGCTCGAAAAGTGTGATCAGATTTGCGCCAGCCATTCCTATCGCGAAGCTGATGGTAAAATGTGCGATCTATTTGAATTCTATTGAGAAACTGCCACTTTAAAATGCTATGGAGAAAGTCGAACATTATATAAAAAAGGCACATTAACTAAAAAGAGGAGAAAACATAGGCTAACCTTGCACCAGTAGCCTACTGACATATATTAAAATCTTTTTAAACTACTCCTGACCACCTTTACCAGAAGAATTTTTCACGTTTTATTGTAGACTTATTTATTGTGGCACATTTTGCTGAACTTGTTGTAGAATTTAGAATAGGTAATCTGTTAAGGGAATAGATTTTCCCCTATAGATTTATCAACTGTGGCATTGTTTCTAAATGTGCAGGCTGTTGTTTTTCATAACAAATGATATATAGATTAATAAAAAAGTAATTATTGGCCTGGTAATGAATAATAGGTAAGCCTTATTATAACAAATGCTGTTAAGAACTATGATACATTTTCATAAGAGCAAGTACAAGTCAGAATCGAGAGCCATGTGTAAATGGGTTCTAATGATGAGTGATGGAAAAACCTGGCCTTCGGACATTTAGAGACGGCACAGATAAAATCATTAAGAGCCTGATAAACGGTTAAGGAGTAAGAAATAAACAATATCAATATAAGAAAATGTTAAGTTAGATTGACTTCCCATGGCATGTTGAATTAGAATATTCAGTCAAACTATAGCCTATGAGTGCCTAAATAATATAAAATAGGCTACATTATACATCCTATGTAAACAAATAATTGTTAACTAGGATATTACTTGATTGCAGTTATGTTATCAACCAACTTTGCATGTGTGGATAATAGCACAAAAGACCATTTTACAAAAATAAAACACATAAGCAAACAAACATATTAAATAAACCTTATGAAGGAGCATGACCCAGAACTCCACTAAAACAGTTCACACTTCAACGAAACTTCTCCTTGTTGTGAACTTCTTTACGAAATACTGTCTTACTACACTGTAAAAAAAATTCCGTAAAATTTACGGTAAAAAACCGCAGCTGTGGTTGCCGGAATTTTACCGTAAAAACTACAGTAGCAACGTTTTAGGTTTTACGGTTTTATCTTAAATTTACAGTTAAATACCGTAATTTTATTAACTGATATAATGTTAATATACCAACCTATTGAAGTACTGAAATCTGTTTTGTACCTTTGTAATACACTGATAACCATCAAATGCAGGTGGTGATGAGAAAGTCACATGATGAACCAAAGCCCATCACAAGCAGCTTTTAAATAATAACATATATAGAAGGTGCACAGTGTCATTCACACAAACGCTAAACACCATCATGGTAACACACATGAAACTGAAATAATGCAATAAACATTCATTTAACAACATTAGGTGTAACACACAACCCTAATATGCAAAACTGATAAGAAAAAACTAAGAAGAAACATAGTTATTTCAACAAAAAACATCAAATTTCAAATGTAACGCAGGGAATTCTGGGAATGTCAATTTACGGTTATTCACTGTAAATTATACGGTATTTTTCACTTCCAAAAACGGTATACTACCGTAAAATTTATGTCCAATACATGTAATGTCCAATACAGTTTTCCACCGTATATAGTAGGGGAATTTACCGTTAACCATTTAACAGGTTTTTACTGTAGCATTTTTACAGTCTTTTACCGTTAAATTCACGGTCATTTTTTACAGTGTAGAGTCTGTTCATGGGGTGTCCGGTCATTTGGGAGTTAATAAGACCTACCAGCGTTTGCTGCAGTATTTTTACTGGCCTCATATTAAGGGTGATGTAAGACAGTATAAAAAGACTTGTCCAACCTGTCAGTTAACAGGTAAACCCAATCAAACATTGAAGCCCACACCTTTATATCCCATACTTCAATATCTTCAAAATCGGGTAATGTATATCTACTGACGGCGATGTGTCAAAGTACTCGATATCCTGCAGCCTGTTTTATGCGTTTACTTACTACACGATCTGTGGTAAAAGCATTTTCCCAGCTTATATCTATTTTTGGAATTCCAAAAATTGTTCAAAGTGATCAGGGGACAAATTTTACATCTAATATGTTTCAGGAGATTTTGAGACAGCTTGGCATCAGACACAACAGGTCAAGTGCGTATCATGTGGAAAGTCAGGGCACTTTAGAGCATTTCCACCAGATTTTAAAGTCTTTGTTAAGGGCATATTGCACTGAGTTGAAGGGTGATTGGGAGGAAGGTTTGCCATGGATGTTGTTAGCTGCACGTGAGGTTATCCAAGAGAGTTTGGGGCTAAGTCCTAATCAGTTAGTTTTTGGACATCATGTACGGGGCCAGTGGCAGTTCTGTGTGATGGTGCTTTACCAGAGGAGCCACCACTGAGTTTGATCCAATATGTGCAGGGTTTTCGCTGACGTTTAATCTTAGCTGGGGAATTGGCGAAAGAAAAATCGGGAAGGGCTCAGAAAAAGATGAAATGCTGGTTCGACCACAAGTCAGAAGTACTCTACTTCCTTTACCTAGTTCTCATTTTTGTGCAAAATTTTCAGGTCCTTACACTGTACTTCAACAAGTGTCCGATCAAAATTATGTTCTTTCAACTCTTGACCATAGGAAGTCCACTCAGTTGTGTCATTTGAACTTATTAAAACCTTTCTATTCTTGTACTGTTACTCCTAAGGTTACGCGTTCTCCAGTTGCTGTAGCCAGTGTGACTCCTACAGGTGAACTAGGACAGGATGTGAAAGCACCAGGGGCCAGTTGCATAAACAGCCACTATTTTAAGACTGGGTCTTAAGAACTGGTTTCACCAACTAGCAGTAGACAAGGGGTAATAGGTCGTGCTTCTGAGATTCAAATTAGACCAATATACCTTTTTGTAACTGAATTAAAAAAGTTAAGACCAGTCTTGAAGAAAAAAAATTAGATGACTAACTTTTTAAGACTAGTCTAAGCAGTTTATGCAACCGGCCCCAGCAGATGATATAATATTACGACCTCGTCTAAAAAACCCAGAAACCATGACAAATTTAGAAGGACTGCTAAAACATTTATCTTTGACCACGTGTGCACAGGAGATTTAATCTTTTATAACACCTTTTGGCCTATTTTCTTATTCTGTAATGAGTTTTGGCCTGAGAAATGCTCCAGCTACATTTCAGCGTTTAATGAACAAAGTGACAGCTGGATTAGAGGGTTGTGCAGTGTACCTTGACGACATAGTTGTCTATAGTGATACATGGGAGCAACACCTAAGCCGTATCCGGGCATTGTTTGAGCGTTTGTCTGCTGCCAATCTCACAGTTAATCTGGCAAAATGTGAATTTGCCAGAGCTACTGTGACCTATTTGGGCAAGGTTGTAGGTATGGGAAAGTTGCGACCTGTATGTGCTAAAAAGTTACAGCTATTGATAACTTTCCAACACCCCAAACTAAATGTGAATTGATGAGATTTTTGGGAATGGCTGGGTACTTAGAGTTTTTGCCCCAATTTTTCTTTCGTTGTGGCCTCTTTGACTGATTTGTTGCGAGCAAAGGCAAAATTTGTGTGGACACCTAAGTGTGAACATGCCTTTGAGAATGTGAAGCGACTGCTTACGTCTTCTCCTGTTTTAACAGCTCAACTGGATAAACCATTTAGACTCCAAGTAGATGCCAGTCAGGTTGGAGCGGGAGCTGTTCTGTTGCAGGCTGATGAGGGTGGAATAAATCGCCCTATTAGTTATTTCTCACGGAAGTTCAACTCATCAGTTTAATTACTCTATTATTGAGAAGGAGGCTCTAGCGTTGATTTGAGCATTTTGAGGTCTATTTGTCTGCTGGGACTATGCCATTAGTGGTATATACTGACCATAACCCTCTTACATTT